TTAGAGATCTTGGCGGTTCTCGTGTTTTTTTGTGCATTTGGCCCACTAAAAGGTAAGCTTTTAGCAGGGGATCTGAGGACAGCCCAGAGATCCTACCATGCCTAGCCGTCACATGGCAAAGTTGGATTCCGGGCCTTGGATTGCAAAAAAAAGGGCGATGGCCCGGTGCGGAGTGCCCGCGATGTTGGGTTCCGTGGGCCATTCTCGCGGCTTTGGCTCCCATGGCTCATGGAAACAAGCTCCCCAGCCCGGAAAGGTTCATAGATTCACGCCCTTTTGTGGCTTGAGCGGGGAAACCGGCAGGACCGCCTTTTTGGGTCCAACACAAAGCGAGCCACCGCCAGGACGAGCCCTGACACGGCTTGGGGAGACCCGCTGGGTAAAAGCGTGTCGCTGCGATGTCTTTGGGACAAAACTTGGCCGCTTTGGCTTTGGCCGGCCCTCGGATGCAACGGAAGCCAATGATAACAGTTTGTGTATTTTTGCTATGAGCATTGACACATCCACAGCGCGTCTTCAGATCCTTTTGTTGGATGGTGGATGTCGCGCAAACCCCTCATTTGGTACCTCACACAACTAGATGGGGCCGTCTGAGAATTTGGGAGTCCAGTTGTTTCAATTGCTTGGTTCGCGATACTGCTTGTCACATGCTTATATGGGGTTGTCCCTTTTGAAAAGCGAAACCGCAAGTTTGGTGGGTCCCGACCAAAAGACAAATCCCCCATAATATGTTTTGATTTGTTGCACCTGTTTCTTGGAAGTTCCAAACGGTCATACAATATGCTGACCTGCAAGCGGTGCTCAGACCTTCGTTTTGAGGGGCCTGTGTTCGGCTTCAGATACCACACTCCGTTTTAGCCACTTGGGGAATCGGACCCGCAGTTTTTGGTGCACCAGTGAAAACACCCATGAAAGTTCCGTTGATTCGCGTGAAGTATCAACATCGATGAATACAGGGCTACTTCGACCCATTTTTCTTGACAAAACTTAGATGTTATCAACTGCGCTCCTTTCATCTAAAGAGCAACTTCTTGGCTCAAGTATGGCGCAGAGCCCGTAACATCCATGACTCTGGCTGTGCAGCGATGCGAATTTGGGATGTCCATCGCCAGAATTTGCGCATTGCGACGCACTTGCGCTAGTCGAGCATCAAGCTGCCTTCTCTGCCTGCCAGCGGTTTGATATCAGAAGGATACTCCGCCAACGAAGATGACCAAACCGGAAGCCCATGTTTCCCATGTTTTCCAGGGATGGCACAATGATGGTGTAGTGCCGTGCTTGTGGTGGGCCGTGAGGGTCAATGGATACCTTGATGCTGATTGGGATGAGCCAATCCTTTAGCCCCCAATTGGTTTGGATTGGTTGGGGATCTGAGCCCCTGGATCCTGGGAAACCAGCCCGACACCTCCAAAAAGTTAGAGGGAAGCTGAAATTCCAGCGGAACCTATGCTCTGTTGCCCAGTGGCGCAATTGTTTCCTTCTTTTTGGTAAGGGTTCCCCTTTAAACTGAACCAACCCAAAAAAGGATGCCCTTTATTCCCCATGGCCACTTGGCATCTGAGTATGAGCCAAACAAGACTCAGAACTGGCTGACTGGGCGCCAGAGACAGCGCTGGTGGGCGCTCGATGGAATACGTTTAGCATGCTGGCCCGGGGCGTTGCACAGGTGGAGGGTTACCACTGGCGGAACCGATCCCTGAAGCTTCGTTTGTAGTTACGTGTTTTCCCTTTTGCAGCGCATAGTAAATGGATGTTGGGGACCCTACTTGGGTGTTCAGCTAAGTTAGTAAGTTGTTAGTGACCTAGGTTGCACGCCACTTACAAGTCCGCTGAATTGGGGGCAGTATTGTTAGTTGGGAGTTAAGTTTCAAGTGGCCGACATCCAAGTACTGTAAGCACGAGGCAAACCACTGCCGGTTTTGGGGGGTCCCTCTTTGAAGACTACCAACAGTGGAAGCACTTCACCGTTGTCGTTGTGGGTAGTTCTCTCAAACTCATACTTGTTGTGCGTCATTGTGTGTAACTAGCAGCTGCAATGATCAGTTACTGTTTGCTACCCGGACCGAGTTTACAATCAGGCATCAACCAGGTTCACTTAGTCTTGCTTTTGCCCAGCTGGCGGCTGTTTGGCGAGTGGCACCAGACCACATTTTAGGAAACTTCCCATGTGTAACTCTTTGGAGCCTGCCGGTGTCGAGTGTCACGCGGCTGCGATGCCATGCTGCCTTGAAGCCGCGATCCCAGCATCGGCTTGGTCAAGTCGCTTCAGCAAGATGTTGGCATTTGTAAGACTAGGTCCCCCAGGGTTCCCCAGTAGTGCCATTTTACCCTTTTTGGGGGAGGGTTCCCTACTAAAATAAACTACAGAAAAAAGGTACCCTTATTCTAGCCTCTCTACTGGAGGACCTAGAAGATGAACCTAAGGGATGAAAGACTGCGCGATGACATGAACTGACAGATGTAGTCCTCCCAAACCACCCTGTGCATTTCCACGATGCTTGCAATCGCAAGGGACGACCTCCGGGAAGAAAATCAGAAGCCGCCTCCCCTTGCATTCCGCAGCTACTATGCAACAATAAATTTGGAGGTGGTTCCTTTTTGATGGTGCCCTGGGTTTGTTTCAAGTTCTTGTAAAGGGAAGCCAAAAACCCATCGATGCCGCACGACACATTCGAAACATGAGAATAATCGAAGCATGGTACGAGAGGGGCTGAATTCACAGCCTGATTTGTGATATACGCATGACCATGGTCATAGCTGAAGAAATGGAATTGCAAGTACCCAAAGCGTCATGCATTTGTTTGTTCCTCCTTTTTGCAAGCTTCGCGTACCTGAGAAACCTGCCGCAAAGCGCCACGTGGCCAATGTGTTTTGGCGAAGGGGGTCAATGGGAATCCGGAGGAAACCTCTGCTACACCGCGGAACCGGCTTTGGGGGCTCCCCTAAAGGAGACCATAGGTGATCGTTTATAGGGGTCTATTGCCCTTGGATACACAGAGCGAATCCCTGAACTGGGGGAAGCCTTGGGTTCCATGTATATAAGGAGAGACCCAATGACTATCCGGTGTTCATGCCATGGGTTGGCTCAACCCTAAGGCCTGTTCAGAACTTTCCAATTCTGGTTGGGTGATGCTTCAGGAGACATTCACATTCTAATTATGAGTCTCTCTTTTTGTGAGGGTACCCGTTCTTGGTGGGCTTTGAAGGTGAAGCCAAAAGGAACGGTCACCTGTTTTTGGGGGTCCAACCTGAAAAACGACTCACCCATATGGGGCCATGAGGCCTGGAAGCCTTCGGTTGCGTTGCCCAGGTCTTTGGCAGCCTAGGCGGCCCCCCGCCGACGCGAGTTGCGCGCAGGCGCTTGAGAGGCGCCAGCGCGCGTTCGAGGAGAAAGAAGATGGCGTCAGGGGTTCACCTCCAAACCACCGAGCTTCAAACTACCAATTGGAGGGAAGCGATTCGAGAATTACCCTGCAGATTGACATGGAGTAGCAGTCATGAATCTTAAAAAACTGTTCTTTTTGTTGGGGTTCCATGTGAATGTGCAGGGGAGTAGAATGGGGTGAGCTACCTTGAAACCATCGTTATAGGAGTAAACCATTCTTAATTATTTCGCCCCTTATCTTAGACTCGTAGAGCAGCTGACACTCTCTCTGATAGTTTTATGGTTCAATTGGGGAGAAGGTGGGACCCAGCCAATGCCTCCCATCATGCTCCCATTCGAAGGCAATGGTGTCCGTTGCTCCCCTTCAGGAATGCCTGTGTGTGAACTGAATGGAGCAACGGCCGAGATGGTCCAGATGTACTGTCCACGGTAGCGGGGATCGCATTGGGCTTCGCCAACTTGCCAGTAGGACATGGGGGTCGCTCACCAAAATTCCATGTCTGGGGACACCGTGGCTTCATTTCCCGGTGGTCTGTTTCGGCCGTAGTTGGCCCTTGGACACGGGGTTTGGGGTTGGATGCCAGGGCCCTTGCTGATTTGTTCAGGTTCTAGAGGCGCGACGGGATAGGCAGAGTCATGGCAAATCCACATGCACCCAAAGGGGCAGGGCACTTAGGGAGTAGTTAGTAATCATGGTTAGGGCATTAAACCCGCAAGTCTGAGTAAGAGGGGTAGAACCATAGTTACTAACCGCTTACCCAGTAAGTATCCTGCCCTGCCCTTTAAGTACACCACCAAGTGAAGCGAGCTGCCACGAGAATGGGGGATCAGCGTTCTATTTTCCGATTTTGCTTGCTTTCGTTTGGCTTTCTCGCCGTGGTCAGTCCCAGTTTGCCATTGGCGCCTGCCTCATCTAAATCCTAGTAAAGGATAAATTATCGATGGGGCGTACAATGTGCAAGGTGAAGCACGTAGTTCACTCTAGAGTCCAACCAAGGGAAAGAGGTGAGCCGTTCAAGCTCCGCGTGTATCCGCGCTTCGATCTGGCCGACCGTTTGGCTCCAGAGGGGAGGCCCCTAAGGGTCGAAGTGTGCCGTCCGGAAATATTTCAGCAACCGTTTCCTGCCAGGATCCACTTTTGTTTGGGTGGATGGTTTTTGAAGCGTAAATGGGCTGCAATCCGTTGAATGCTCGGTTCAACCACCCCGGAGAAGGGTACTGAGAGTCGAAGTGCGGCGTGCCACACAGTTTGGGCAATTGAATCGTGACCTAATGGATTGTGTGGGTTCACTCATGAAGCAGGTTCCTTTTTATGGGGGCTGTTTCTTTCAAAAAGCATGTTGGCAAATGAGTTCTAGATTCATCCAGACGTGACAGCTGATGGGAGAGCCCTTCTGAATGGTGGGGGTTTGGCTTAGTGCTTTCATCCATCCAACGCGGGTTCCATCACACTTTCCGAGTCCCAGGCTGAAGCCTAAAATTTTCACGCGTGTGAGAGCACACATTTGGTATTCACGTGTGGCTTTGTCCCATAATTGGGACACACTCTTGTGGATGTTCTTGAATCTTGAAAGCAAAACGAAAAGCCACAACAGCTTGCAGGACATCTATTGGTGAAACACCCATGTGCTTAATCGCCATGCTAGATGCACAACCCTGAGCATGCAGTAAGCCGCGATGTCTGAGGATGGAGGCGTGATTTAGATGGTCCAATGCCAGACATCTGGCAGTCGAAAGCTGGATTTGACTTCTTGGATGCGTTGTGCATCGCCAGACTGAACTAGCCTCCTGCCTCCTTGTCGCTTACAACAAAAGTCTGCATATCTCTTGCAGAGTCCGTCGGTGCACTCCCGACCCTTTCCGTGCAGATGTTACAAATGGGTCTGTGTCAAAATAGGGTGCCTCCTCAAAAAATGGTGGGCTCCTTTCGGTTTTCCTTTCGGCAAACCCCAAAAAGGGTACCCTCCACAACACGCTCCCAACTGACATGGAGCATGCTTCCTGGGGACCAAAAACCACGTCAGCATGGCTCCCGTCCCTGGCATTGCCATCAAACACTTGGGAGGGTCTATCAAAGTCATCGCTTTCGGAGTTGTGCATGGCAGAAACTCTGAACTCTACACCACCCAAACATCTGAAGGGTGGAGACTTCCTAGTTGGATTGTGGCAAGGTGCCGATGGTTGATGGTTGACAGATTCGGGGCTTTAAAGTTTAAGACCCGGAATCCCGGTTTTTGGGGATCCAAGCCCAAACTTCAGCGTGGCTCTTTTCCGGATCACCTCTCAAAACTGCCCCTAATGGGGATCCCTCGTCTTGACCCATACTCAATGGCCAGGATGTTTATCTGAGGAATTCCTCAATTATTTTCATTGGGCTCAATTCTCAGTCCGAACAAAAAGACATGTCACGAGCTGTCGCTTGCTCTGAGGTCTCGTGTGAAGGTCACTGCCGTATGTTGATGGTTCGCAAGAGTTCTGACCTTTATGGTAACGGATCTTTGGACTTGGTTGAACCAGTTGGTTTTTGTTTTCCCATTGGACTCACAAACAGTGAGACTTTTTGCAGGGTCAACGGCAGCCAAGTGACTTATGGTTTCTCTGACCGCCCTAAACACACTAGCCCCAAGTCCCAAAAACGCGGCCATGGCCCAAAACCCGCAGGGCTGCGGCGAATCCCAAATGGATTTCACTTCCTGAGTTCCCAAACTTCAAGCTTTTTGCGAAAGTCATTTTGCTTCCATGTGCGTTTCAGAATAGTGTGTTCTTATCTTCCGCAGTTGGTTTAAAGGAATCTATCGCTAGACATATGTTTATTCTTATTTTTTCCAGGGGGCAAATGCAATGGAAGTTTGTGGGAATGTCATTTGGTAGCAGAAAGTGTGAACTTGTTTCATTTTGTTCCCGACCGATCTGAGTTGCACTTGGCATCGTGACCCCTGGCTGTCCCTGCAGGAGACTTCCTGCCGGTGGGTGCGGAGACGCAGCCCTACGCCAGACACAAGGCGCAAGCGGCGCATCACGTGTTTTGAGTCAGGAGTGTGCGGGAAGAAACACCTTATAATCGCCAGGCATAGACCCCAGATAGCGTGGAGATTGCAACAGCACCCTGGACCGGCACCCTGACTGTATCGCCAATGAAGCATCACCAGCAACCACCGCAGCACCTTGAGCACACCAAACAGCCCCGTGACCGGAACTCACAGCAGCACCTCGACCAGCACCCGCAACAGCATCATTGCGAAACAAGCACCGCCAGGAACCATCACCGCACCTTCAGCGCCCTGACTGCATCAAAAAACGGGCACTGCGCACTGCCAACAACAACCACAGCACCTTGAGAGCACCCCAAACACCGCGCCCAGCACTGCCGCGCCAGGCCCGAAGTATAGAAAGGGCCCCTCATAGCTTTCAGCCGGAAAAAACAGGGTGAAATGAGTCATTACATTGTTGCTCCTAGGGAGTTCGAAGACATACAAGGCGTGACTTGTGGTTTGTTTTTTTGACTCCCCTGGACAAAGGAAGAGGCCAACACAATTGAAGCCTGATCTGCGAACATAATTGCTCTACAAGATGTTGGTCTTGAAGGTTTCGTGCGAATTTTCAGGGGAGTGAGTCAAGTGGAAAGCAGCCAGCTAACATCACACCCAAACCTTGGACCGACCCAAGCCTTGGACCGTCCCAGTTTGGCCCGGCAACGGCCTGCGTCGGTGACTAGGAAAAGGAAGGGCCCCGGGGGTCTACCTGGACCCTCGAAAGTCCAACTCAAAATTGGGCTACTGTGGATGGACGAAATCCTGCACCACCTTGAAACCATGGGAAACCATTGTTTGCTGGTATTTACAGGGGAATCATCATTCCAGGTTTTTTTAGGTGGTGCAGGATTTCGTTCACCCACGGTATTGCCCCAGCATTCTGGGGTGACGGTTTGAGGGACCAAGTACACTTTTTGGAGGCAACCTATCGAAGGGAGCTTTGACAAATGAGCCAAAGACTGTCTTCCTGGCGGACTCTGAATGTCGGACTTCAATTGGGTTTCCCGGTAAAGGTGTGAATAATCATGTCCGAGTTTACGGAACCGAAACGGAATGGAGGATATTCACGATTTTGGCAAATCCCCTGTTCCGCATTCAAGGCAAAATCGCAGGACATGTATTTTTTTGGAGAACCTTGCTGGGACCAGTGGATTGGTGGGGGGATTTGCATGCAGCGTGTTGGGTTTGCCGTCGATCAACTCTACATGTTTGCCGTCGATCAACTGTACATTTGTTTTGGAGGTTACGTCTTGTCTTGCTCCTAGCAGTCCGCACTGTTGCTGAGCAACTTTGCTGGTTCTCAGCAGGGAATGAGGCAATGACTACCTTTAAGGGAATCCCTAGGTTCATTCCCAAACCGTGGTCATTCCCTACTGAGCACCAGCAGGGCAAATTGCCTTGAGTTCAAAGAACTATAGAAATCCGGTATGTGTTCTGATTGGTACCTGCCAGCTGGATTTTGCAAGCCGGTTTGTCCTTGCTTTGTAGGGTTGTCAAGAGAGGCCTCTGTTGGAATGATCACTTCTTGACCTCACGGACTTTACACTTTTTGAGAAGTCCGTTTTGGTGGTAAGCAAAAAGCTCAGACGCGAGAATGTTGCGCTGCCATTGGGCCGGGGGTTCCAAAGTGTGCCAACATTCGCAGAACCTTCTCCCAGTCCAAGTACAAGTACTCTAGTGAGGTCAAGAGGTCGTCCTCCCAAGTAGGGGCTTGATCACTATTGTTCGCCTGCACCAAGTTATGCGGATGGGCATTTGCTAGGAGCGGGGCGAGACCAATTTCATGGGGGACCTTGGGCAATCTTGCTCACCGGCTTGCTCTTCACACTGGACCAGCGCCAAGGATGCGTGGCAGATTGGTTCCTAGTTTTGGAAGATGATGCAGTTCTGGCCCAGCCGCCGGCGGGTGCAGGCGCGACGTGGTTCTGTGACACCGGCAATGAAGTCGCGGTGGCTAGTGCTTCAGCTCGGCGGTTAGACGGCTGGCGTGGCCCCTTTGACCAAGAGGGCATGCTTGCAGGACCTTGGATTCTGCCGCCTTCAGGCAGCCGCATATCTCGTGTGCTCAACAGCTGCCGCCTCATTTTTGCAGCACATGCGCACTGGGAAGGTTGACTCATCCCAAGTAGAGGACCATTTGATCAACCCCCATATTGTTGCCTTTGTTTGGGAGGCTTAAATGCCCAATGTTGTTTGTTTTTCGGCGGGGTGATGTGTAAGAAAGATGTGGTTTACTGGAGTCATCTAAACAAACCCATGATGAAGGTCATTTTGAGAATTTCTCGTTCCAACTAGTGAATTCCCATGTTTGTTCCGTTTTTGTGTGGGGACCAGTGAAAACCAACCGTCAAGTTCCAGGCCCTCCTGAGTGGCGTACTGGGCGGGCCACCCGGCAGAAGCTGAAGGGGCGGAGTGGGAGCTCGGATTCGATGGGACGTCTAGGGGATGATTGCACGTGCCGTTCTTTTCAACCCCGTTCTTTTGAACCACTGGCCCTCCTTCAACCTGGGTGATTTGGGGCTTTCTGCAAAGGATCGCTTGAAACTGGGAAGTTGCTAGAGAATGGTCTCACATTCGGAACCAAAAGGCAGCCCTCTTTGGGAGGGCGCCCAATGCACATTTGGGGAAGATTGCGGTAGGGGCCCGGGGCGGTCCCCTTTGGACACGTGGACGGAATTCACAAGAAACGGTTGTCCTGAAAGCTTCCCGCAGTCTTAAGCCTGGAGCGTCCCCGGTAAACCACAAAGCATGGATACACCAGGGTGTCAAAGTCTGGGAACCTTGTTTGAGGGCTTCGTAAAGAATCACAGGGCACTTTCTTAAAGAGGGGGTCTGAAAACGGGTTTGGCGTCTTTTGATTAGTTGGGTTGCAATCTGTTTTTGGAAGAAGCGGCCAGCCCATAAGAATTCTGCAATGGAGAACCAACCTGGTCATTCTGAAATCATTTGTCGCAGATTGCTCCATTTGTTGAAACCGGTTTTGAGCTTCTTTCAATCCTCAGCTCTTTTCGCAAGTTGGCTTGGGCAACGTAAAATCCGTAGACCGATGTCCAGATTTCCGGATCATTTGCCCGAGAGATCTTCGTCTCACCGGATCTGCGGCAGGTGCGCCTTTTCGGCCTGGAGCTTCCAGCGAGGAAGACGTCAAGGCGAGCCAAGAAACGCGCCCGGGTTCACTCGAACGAAACCCGAAGGGGGGTGGGGATTCTCGGGGAAACAGTGGCACAAATCCACTTGCTTTCGACGTGCCACATCGAGCTCCTTTTGGGACTTTATGGAGGCTGTTCAACGTTGTGGTGTACTGTCCTGATTATCACGAAGCCCCGAGATCCATCAGGTTGCAAGTTTTTTGTGTTTTTTTTGGCCGGGGGGGGGGGGGGTTCTTTTGTGGTTTTTAGGTACGTGTTTTTTGTATTATTTTCTTTCAGCCGGCTTCCATCATCCTGTGTAAGCATGGGCTGATAGCCATTCACCGGCTTCGGTCAGACATTCTGAGGCCGGGTCTATTTCTGGCGTCTCCAAGGCTCCTTAGTCATGCACCTCCGCATTATAGGGTACAGCAAACAAATAGTGCCTCCCAAAG